TTTAACCTTTCTAAACTAGTAAGAGAAGGATAAAACTCTTTGAGATACAAACCCTGATGGATGGACATATGTCTAATACCCAATAACCTTATAAACTTGGGATCCCATAAAAGGGGAAGAGAATTGCCAGGAACCTTGATGTTTCTAGAACCCACAGACTGGATTCCCTTTGTTGTTTTGTTTTGTTTTTTTTTAAGCTCTTATTTATTTATTTGTCAGATAGAACGAGCAAACATAAGCAGGGGACCGTTAGGCAGAGGGAAAAGCAGGCTCTGTGATGAGCAAAGAGCCTGATGTGGGATTCAATCCCAGGACCCTGGGTTCATGACCTGAGCCAAAGGCAGACGCTTAACCGACTCAGCTACCCAGGCATCCCTGCTTTGGTGAATTGTGATGGGAGTTTAATTATAATCTTAGATGGGTCACAGGTTACTGCTCTCACCAATTCCCACCAAGGCTTGCTACATCATTATTCAGCAGTTATTCAGCTTTTGTTACTATAACAATAAAAGGACAGGGCTAAGCCACAGCCTGACTCACAACAGGAGTCATAACAGAAGAACCAGGAATCACGGACATGTGTAGCCAAGTATTCCAGCTCAGCCTATAGCTGAGTGGTATTCAAGGGAAAAGGCTTTGGAAGCTGCCCAATGACTTGGCCTGCATACCCCAAAGCTGGAGTATCCTTGTCTTCTGTCTGAAACACAGTCACTCTGGACATAATTAGTTATGGAAACTAACAATAAGGACTCTACCTTATTAGGTCATCAACACTTAGCAAAATGAGACCCAGACAAAAGTTTACATGAGTTGTTGGTCTACATGAAGAAAGTTCACACTTCCTTCAAAACCTCTCTACACAGAGGCTTTAGCAAGGGGCACCTGGGTGGCTCAGTCAGTTAAGCATCTGCCTTCAGGTCAAGTTATGATCCCAGTGTCCTGGGACTGAGCCCCACATCTGGCTCTCTGCTCAGGGGGGAGGCTGCTTCTCCCCCTCCCTCTCCCCCTCCTCCTGGTTGTGCTCTCTCTCGCTCTCTCTCCCTCTCTAATAAATAAATAAAATCTTTAACACACCGCACACAGACACACACACACACACACACACACACACACACACACACACTCCTCTATACCAAGACTGCTCTGATTCATTCCCAAGAAGAGATGTGGCCTCAGAGGGAAAAGAAGATGAATGTTTTTTAAAACCGAAATCAGACATAACTTTGCAGCAATACCAAGTTACCACTGCATTCCTTCATTCATTCACTCATTCTCAAATTACAGCTCTGAATCCCAAACATCAGCCAGTGGAAATAAACTCAGCAAGTCAACGAAAATTCCTCCTGGCACATAAAACCAGTGAAAAGGGAAGGAATGCAGAAAGGGCAGAAGAACTTGTGACAGCAATACTCCATGCGTCTTAAAGAGTCACACCCAGCAATTTCAACCTCTCTGTGAAGCTTGACGCAAAGCACAAGACCATCAGCTGACTAGGGTTTGGGTTTTTTTTTTTTTTTCCTTCTACCCACTTCATTCAATCTAACAGCTACATTTTCTACATAGTATCAAAGAAGAATAGCTTTCATAGTGTTTCTAAGTGAAGAACACAATGAAAAACACTCTCCCCTTCTCTACAACCTGCATTAGAATTCAGCCCTTTTTCATTAAATTCTTCAAAATAGAATGCTTTGGTCTGTTGCCTTAGCATATCTCTGTTGCCTTAGCATCTCTCTCTAAATCTGCGACTATCTTTGTATTTCCTATTCAGTCGTTCTAACTGCTATAAATAAAGACTGGTAGTAAAATTGTGGTTGGCTTATCTCTGTGAAGCAGTTAACTAGAGAAAAGAAAATAAACCTTAGTTTCTGTACTTCTTTTCTTGTTGAGCAATTACCACAAATAATCTGAGCCTCTTTCTTTTTTGATAAGTTGGTTCATCTAAATGGTAGACAAATCGGATATATACACTCATTAATCCTCCAGCCCTTCCTATCCTGGTGATTCTAAAGCAGTACAAAGAGTCTCTGCTGAATCAAAATTCCAAGGTATAAATCTTAAAGCACCATTGACTCTGAAGTGCTTTGTTTCAGTTCCTCTTCTGTGTGGGTAACGTATACTTCTTAAGACAAGGTTACATCAAATTTTCTCTTGCCATCAGAGAAACAATGGTTCTCTGATAAACTTGGCAAATAATCCCAGATTTCTCACATAAACAGCCTTATGGTCATCTAATTTGCTGGCAAAGTGAGAAAAACCAAGTCATTAACAGCTTTGTTATGGTTGGCAGCTTAAGGAAGAAGGAACTGATTACGGAAGACTATACCATACATCCAGCATCTTGTCAGTTACTGGATTTGAGGTGAGTTTCAGCGAAGAATTTTAAGTGATAAACCACTTAAAATGTTTCATCAAACTCTGCAGGTTTTGATTGGTTCTGAAATTTTGTGAAATAAATGAAACTCCAGTATCTGTCATTCTAGAAATTAAGGAGAAAAGAAGTGAATTTAAGAAGGACAGACTTAATATCCTGAAATGTTTCATTCCACATGAACTGTGATGGGAAAGATCAAAATGTTTCTTTCTGCACTGGACTGTATCAGTTTTACACTGTGGCCAGTCACTGTTAGGTACCCAACATGACTCCTCTGTGTTTGTGGAATCTTTCTCTTCACCTTTACAGTAACTAGAAAATCATGAGAAAGGATAGAAGAAAAACAAAAACAAAACAAAAACCTACTTAACAGTGTAGTCAGCTAAGACCACCTAAAATTATTGATTTAAGATAACCAAGAGCAAAGAGGGAGTTGGAAGTCATACTTCACTGACCGCCACCTGACTTGGACAAACAGATAACTCGTGAACACTTTGGAGCCAGATCTTTACAGTGTAAACTCCTGTCAATTATTCACTCTACCCTTGAGACTGGCCCAAATCCTAAAGAAATTCAGGAAACCAAATAAAACACTGCAAATAACAAATATGTTTTCAAGATCTTAGTAAGGGGAATAGAAAGTATATAAGATCTACCAAGACAACTGGTCTGACTAGAAATTAATTCCAGTTAATTGATGACAAGTGTATATCATCACCATACATAATTAAAAAAAAAAAAATCTCAGCACCAAAGAATTAAATCTAAAGGAAGTCAAAATAGGAAAGGGCAATAATGGATATGAAAATTTTGTGTTAAATTGTTGTTTAATTAAAAATGATTAAAATCCACTGAAGAATATTAAGTTCACTGAAAGTGATAAGCAGAAGCTCATACCAAAATATTTTGAAGTTTAAAAAAAAAATCTGTGTGGCCCTGCATACCCTGCATAATATTTTCTTACATAGATGCTGTCCCCCTCACCCCAAATACCTATTTTGGACATATAGTACTGTATGAATAACAAAAAGAGGGCCTACAAAAGGTCCTGATGCTACATCTTAGAATTTCAGAGGAGGAAAGGATTTTTAAACAATCTGAACCAACTTCATAGCCTAGAGTTGAAAGTGAGACCAGAAAAGCCAGGAGACTCTCACATGGTTACAAGGCTCGTGGGCAGCCGAGCCGGGGATCAGAATCAGAATCCAGATCCAGATCAACTGAGTACAAATCCATTACTCTTTCCTATCACTCAAATGTCCTTTCTTGATAAGAAACAGATAAAAAAAAAAAGGATACTATAAAAGGGAAATTCTTATCTGAACACTTAAATGTATTTTTCTAATGTACCACATCATTCATTACTACTTCCTCCATATATATCTCTCTTTAATTGAGTGGATGGGCAAGTGACCCAGCACCTATACAATGATTTCTACGTTTTTCCCCTAACCCTTCAATCAGCTGGGCTCTTATACTGGAATAGATTATACACCATTTTGTTAAGTTTCTACTAAAGAAAGACATTGATTTTTATATAACAGAAACTATATCCTGATTTTTAATCAACTAAGAAATGCATTGATGGATAAAGTTTATGACACGTTAATTGTAACAAAACTTCTATAAAGAAAAAAACAATATTTAAGTGAATTTAGAAAGTTACTTTTACACTAACCATGAGAATCAAGTTTATCTTTTAACTTTGGTTCTCCTCTACCTATCTACATTAGATTTTGGAATGAAATGCAATTCTCAAAAGACTTTTCCTTTTCCTTGATATGCAATAAAATTCTTTACAAATACATTTCAATTAAAAGCTATTCCTAATTAAATTAATAAATTCTTCCATCACCCTTAAACAATACAGCAAATGTAATGTTATTCTCTTTATGTAAGCTCCATTATTAAAATTAGTTCAGCACAGTACCATCCTTCTCGTGGAGATAATTTTCCAGAAGACTGGACCCTCTCCCACCACCCTGCCTCCACCTACCCTTCAAACTACGGAGTGAGAACTTCCAGCCCTATGCCCATCTACCAGCTGCGGTGGTACTTCAGAACTGCAACTCTTTTTCCTGCTCATCTCTGTGAATAGTACTGTTCAATATTCAACACAGGACAAGGATATAACCATTTCTTGCAAGCTGGCTCCAACAGAAGTAATGAAATTTAAGAAAGAGACCCATATGGGTAGTAGAATTGAAACAGTAAAAAAAAAAAAATAACCTTGCTGGGACACTTGGGTGGCTCAGGTGGTTAAGCATCTGCCTTCAGATGATACCAGGGTCCTGGGATCTAATCCTGCATCTGGCTCCCTGCTCAGCGGGTAGACTGCTTCTCCCTCTGACTGCTGCTCCCCCTGCTTGTGCGCGCTCTCTCTCTCTCTCACACACACACACACAAACACACAAATAAATAAAATCTTAAAAAAAAAAAAAAAAACCATGCCTACAACCTTTTCTACACAGGAAAGGACGTGTTTCTACACACCCACCTACTACCCCATGTCCTACTAAAAGTAGTCTTGAAAAACAACTTGCAGATCAATATAATTTCATCTGTTTGGTACTCAGTGATTTAAATAAAAATTTCTCTGAGACTTTAAAACAGAACTAAAGTTTCAAACCTGTTGCTGAGCTCCGTGTGATCAGCGCCCCTTCCTACCCTGGCACGTTTTCGAGTCTTTGTGCATAAAAGTGCCTTGTAATTCCTCCCAGCACCAGAACCGCCATTACACACACATCTGGTTGACTCCTGCCAGCCCCCTGGCAGATTTGCAGTCTTTGTTGAGCCGCCACACATCTCCTGGGTGGATGAACTTGCTTCTGGTTTATCCTGGCTATCAACATGGACCTGGGACACACATGTTGAAGATTCTCTGCTGTTGGAGGGATATTCCACACTGACCAGCCGTCCTAGTTAATCACTGTACTGCGTATACGGTAGGTGAGGCGAGCTACTTGGCAGCAGCCTACTAATTTCCTCTTTCAAAATTAAAAAAAAGAGAGAGAGAAAAAGGAACATTCATTTGTTACGTAAATTAAGCCTGCCAAAGTATTAGGAAGTCAGATGTAGCCTTCATGTTATAAAACACGCTCTCAGCAGGACCACTATAAACAAATCTAAATCCCACTTCCTACTTTTGTTCCTAAGCTTGTACTCTGGTCAGCAAAAGACAAAACACTCAACAGGTTGAGCAGCTTGGTCTGACTCATTCCATCTGTGCTCCCCTGTTGGAGATTATGTAGTAGTCAATTAATTGGTCATAAGACCTATTCATATGGCTCTGGGCAAATGCGGTGACTTGCCCTCAGCTGCAAGGTTGCTCTGACATTGGCCACACCACCCTCTTTAATGGCTCTCATGTGAGCAAGTGTCAGCTGACAGATCTTACTCTGCAACCTTGCAAAACTCTACCCATAGCAAGTGAAGGAGATGGTAGGGCTCAACGTACAGGAGGTGACGTGGGGAAGGGAGAGTATGGACATGCCCTTGCTTTACCACCAAATATTCATATGTAAATATGTAAGAAAAAGTTTACATACACACACATATGTAAGAAAAATAATAAGTGAGAAGCCATAAACACACACACACACACACACACACACACACACACATATCTAAGAAAAATAATAATAAATGAGAAGCCATAAACTCTCTCACAACTCTTGCACTGAATTCCCAATTCCTGGACATATTCAGGATAAGAAAGCCCTGAACAAGCACATAAGGACAAAAGTAGTTCAGATTTTAATTCTGACACTAATGTACTTCATCTGTAAAATGAAATACGGCTATAGAATCAGCATGATTCTTCTATAGTACTGAGTTCACAGAAAAAGTCCTTTTTCTTTTTCTTTAAGAAGAAATGAAAAGCATAGGTCCCTAAAATATAGGCAGATCTTAAAAACTCTAAGCGACTGTCTCAATTCCTATTCCTCTTCCTTACCCTGAATTTGGCTGAAGAAAATATTAATAGATCCCTAAAATCTGACAAACTTTGGCTGGGTCTCTAGTGTCAGGAGGATTTAAATATGTCTTTATACATGGCAGCCAAATATTTCACCCCACAAGTGTGAAAAAAATCTACTGATATCGGAGCAAAGGCCTCAATTACCTTAAGACATTATTCTCTATGTGACCCTAAAGTTCCTTTATAGCAAACCAAAAAAAGATCTTAAATACACCCTCCCCTGAGAAATAGATTGCAACACACCTACAACAAAGACTGTACTTCTCTGTGCACGTAATAAACTGATAGTGCCAAGATAAAACCAGATTAGTAGAAAATGAATTCATTTTTCCAGGAAGGGGAACACATTTTGACCTTAAAGCTTAACTGTATGGCCACCATGTGATCATGGGTTCTTCCTTTTCCCCTGTCTTTAAAATCACTTTCTCTTTTTAATAGAGAATCAGAAGCTCACTTATGCAAGCATAGCAACTCTTCCACATTTTAGGCATAGGGCAGCTGGGTGAGCGAAGGCTGAAAGGAAAACCTCCTTTCACCATCATCATTCCCACTTCGTAAGTGACCCAAGTGAGACCCTAAATCAGTGTCTCCTATTCACCTAGGGTTTACCTCCTCTAAAATCACAGGAGAAATGAAAGTATAGTTTGTCAAAAAGAAAACCACCAGCCTCAAAATGTGTTTCTCTGGCCAATCCCAGTCATCAAACAGGAGCTTAATAACTAACTTAACTGCAGTTTCAACCTCCCTGAGCATTCTGTCTCAACCTGTCAATCAGGAATTTTCAGGTAAGCACCAATGAGGAAATCTATCACATGGGTCCCCTCCACCACAAAGGAAGTCGATCGAGGTAATTTGCTCAGTAAGTCCCTGCCCTTCCTTTCTTTTCTTTTCTTATACTTATACCTTTCTTGCTCCACTCTGCTTCCTATAAAAACTTTCCATTTTGTACAGCTCCTTGGAATACCCCTCTCCATTTGCAAGGTGGGATACTGCTTGATTCATGAGTCATTAATAAAGCCAATTAGATCTTCAAATTTACTTTGTTGAATTTTACCTTTTAACATGTTCAATGTTGATGGGGTAGGATCTGTAAAAATGCCAAAATAGCTGAATTTTATAAAATATGCAGAAATGCTCAGGGAACATATCCCATTTTTTATATGTAAAAAATAAATAAAGTTTTAAAACTGCAATCTCTAAAAAATATTTATCTAGGAACTAATAAAAGGACATGAAATCCTTTTTATTTATTTATTTTTTTATTTCTTGGGGTTGGAGGGGTGGAGGCACAGAAAGAGAGGGAGAGAGAGAGTCTTAAGCAGGCTCCACACCCAGTGCAGAGCCCAAGGCAGAGCTTCATCTCACAACTTTGAAGTCATGATCTGAGCCTAAATCAAGAGTTGGACACTTATCAGTCTGAGCCACCCAGGTACCCCATGAAACCCTTTTTTAAAATAGGTATTCTGAACAAATATTTAACCTAGTAGTTAGCCACAAAGCTGTTCAATCATCCTGATATTTTACATTTCTAAAGGCTTCAAATACTGTTATAAAATGCAAATGTTATCTCCTATCCAGATGATGTAAACATTTTAAATGATCAGAATAATAAAATATGAAAATGACAACATAGTTACAAAGAATAATTGGATGAAATAAGGGTCAAACTGCATTGGGAAGGAATTCTCTTAAACAGAAGCTAAACCCCTCCTGCATGCTTCTTTCATTTAGCCAGCCATCTTTTTTTTTTTTAATTTATTATTTTTATTACCATATAATGTATAATTTGCCCCAGGGGTACAGGTCTGTGACTCATCAGGCTTACACATTTCACAGTGCTTACCATAGCAGATACCCTCCCCAATGTCCCAATAATCCAACCACCCTCTCCCTACCCCTCCCTACCCACGCCAACCCCTCCAACCCTCAGTTTGTTTTGTGAGATTAAGAGTCTCTATGGTTTGTCTCCCTCCCGATCCCATCATATTTCTTTTCCTTACCTACCCCCTAAACTCCCTGCCCTGCTTCTCAAATTCCTCGTATCAGAGAGATCATATGATAATTATCTTTCTCTGATTGACTTATTTCGCTCAGCGTAATACTCTCTAGTTCCATCCGTGTTTACCCAGCCATCCTTAACTAAACACTACACACCAGTCACTGTTTCTCCCTAAAATCAGTCAGCATACCTTTTGTCCACTACTTCCTTGGCTGAGTGATGCTCACATACAGCATGCTTATAAACACAGATTGCCGGACCTAGCCCCCAGGGTTTCTGATTCAGCAGTTCTGAGGTGGAGTCTGAGAATGTACATTTCTAACAAGTTCTAAGGATGCTGTTGCTGCTTGTCTGGGAACCACACATTTGAGAAATACTTCCTTGGTAAAAATTTTGGCTTCCCCCTAATGACTTCCTAGGCTGGAAGATCTTTTTCTCCCTTGAATTCCTCTATAATTTTTTTTAAAAGATGAATTTATTTTAGAAAAAGAGCATGTGTGGGGGGGAGGGGTAGTCAGAGGGAGAACCCTCAAGCAGACTCCCCGCTGAGCAAGGAGCCCAATAAGGGGTTCAATCCCAGGACCCTGAGACCATGACCTGAGCCGAAATCAAGAGTCGCATGTTTAACCAACTGAGCCCCGCAGGCTTCCCCCTCTATAATTTGTTTTAAACCATACTTTTTTAAAACTTAACACATAACTGCTTTGCAACAGAGTAGTGTGCTATCATATGATCCTAACTAGATCATAAATTCTCTCAGTGTAAAAACTGGATTTTAACATTTATCTTTGCACCTCATACAGGTCTTACATTTGGTACATGCTCAACAGATAACTTTTCGATAGTTTTAATGTATATATTCAGTGGTATTAAACCTATATAGGAACCTACCTACACCAAGCAGTGAACTCCTTTAACAAACTGATGATTATTTTCTGCCCAAGAGGGTGCTTGTGCTTAAACACACACACTCTCTTCCTCTCATTTATTACAGCAGAAGTTCCTTCAGAACCTTTAACATTTTGTGTTCACTCCAATCAATGGGACTCATGCCATATGGTAACAGAAAGAAATTTAAAACTTTTTAAAAGTGAAAAAGCCATCTCCTCTGTCCCTCCCCTTGATAATCCTTAATTCCACAGCTCAAAGTATGATAAAATGTAATAGAGATGTATATCAAAACCACAACCACTGTACTTAAGAGAGATGCCTCTATATGACTCCAAATTTCCTTACGTGTAAAAATGGGAGTTTTAAAACTTCTTCACTAAATGAAAAAACAACTACTGATTGTATCATCACAACCATTCTTCTGAGGCATTATGAAACTGCTTAAAAGCATAAAGTTGAACAAAAATCAAAATGGCTGCACTAATGTTTCAGCAAAGCTTGGTTTTGCAGTAATCTTTTCCTTCTCTTCTGGAAACCTCCCCTCCTCCCTTCTTAGCCTTTTGTTTCAGGAATCGAGTCCTACCCTAAAGACATGACAAAGCTCACACAGTTCCTGCCAAAACCAGCTAGAGCCATATTTCCCTACAAAACCCCTCAGCCCCTTCCTTGGGGCAGGCTTGCACTTTTGGAAGGCCACAGTCTGCAGCAGCCTCTTTAGCCCCGCAAAGCAATAAAGCTATTCTTCCTTTTTATCCCAAACTCTGTCTTCATGTTATATTTGGCTCCAAAGCATGGAGGTTGGGTTTCAACAATAATCAGAACAGTTTATATAGTAGCTAAGAGAAAGGTATCTTCAGATTTTTGGTGCCTCAAATTCTGTTTGTACCTCAATCTGATCTTCCTTTCTTCTCAATCTTCTGCTTCCTGAAATGGAATCATACTCATGTAGGTATCCGTACTCTGACTCATTATCATGCTGGATATCTTGGTCTTAAGTACTAACTAACATACAAAATTTATCATCATCCCTATTTGCAGTGCTACTCATGGTAGAGTTCTCCCTTTCCTTCACACAGTTTAGCCATGTTTCCACATTTAGGAAAGTATCTGCAGTCCCTGCCCAGTCTCCCACACTCC